ACACACACACACACACACACACACAGGCACTTCCACATACACTATCCAGCCTTCCATGATACGGCCAGAGAACCGCACCCATGGGCCTTTGGTGGGGAGGAAGCCTGAGAGGCTCTGAGCAGGGCTGGTGGGGTGGGGTCTCCCGTAACGGGCCAGCCACATCTTTCCCCTCAATCTTGAGCCTCTGGGGAGCGAAAATGTTTGCTGCTGGCAGTTACGCAGGCAGACCCCGATGTGGCCTCCCCGCTCACGAGTGGGGTCTGTGAACTCCAGGGTCGGCTTCAGGGATGCGTCTGGCTGCCGGGGGCCTGGGCCGGGTGCTGTGGGTCCTGCTGTGCTGACCCCTCAAGGAGCCATCATGCTGCCGGTGGACCCACGGCGGCCCGGGGCCTAGATGGCAGGGGTGGAGGCGGCGAGCATCCTCAGGAAGTGATGCTGGGGGAGGGGCGGGCGCTGTTCCCCCACTCACGTGTCCCCCTTCTCCGCAGCAGCTCCCCGATGGCTGCAAAGCCCCGCGGCTGGTCTCCCAGCTGCACTTCACCAGCTGGCCCGACTTTGGAGTGCCTTTCACCCCCATCGGGATGCTGAAGTTCCTGAAGAAAGTGAAGGCCCTCAACCCCGCCCATGCCGGGCCCATAGTGGTCCACTGCAGGTATGTCGGGCCGGGGCCCCCGGAGGACTCACCCTCGTGGCTGGGCCGGTCCCAAGGTGGGCAGAAGGACAGGTAGGGGCCTAGTAAAAGCACCCTCCTGCCCGCTGTGAACGCAATTACTAGTGACAGCTTGGGGGATCCCTGGGGGTGAGAGCCAGAGGGACATTCAGCCCACTCTGTGACAGCAGGACCTGTCCGTCAGCAGCGTCTGAGGGGGATCCCCAATTCTTAAAACAGACAAAAGCCGAGGGGCCAGGTTGATAGTGCTCTTGGGGCTCTGGCAGGTTCACTGCCCCCGTAGACCCCAGGTCACCTCTGGGGACAGAGATGGAAACCATGCTTCTATGGAGAGCCCCCCCCCCCCCAAGTCTTTCTACATGAGTGCGCGAGGCTCAGAGGGGCTGGGGGCCATGGCCCAGGAACAGCCAATAGTGGCCAGGAGCAGCTTTCCAGGGCGGGGCGTCCCCCCTCCCAGCTGCAATCTCCTGGTCTGCAGTGGGAGGGACAGTCCTGGAGGGGCCCGGGACTCGACTCTGAAGGTGGGCTGACTCCCTCTGGGGCTTTTGTCTGCCTGCCCAGCGTGGCCGCTGGTGCAGAAAGTCACATACGAGAAAAGGCCTCGGACTTCGGGTTGGTTGACTGGCTTGTGCCCTTTCTGCTTTTGAAGACAAAGGCACAGTGGTGAGCAGTGCTCCAGGCCAAACTCCCCATCCTCCCGGTGGGTGCTCAGTTAGAACCTGAAGACAGTTTGGGGGCCAAAGGGGAGGCCCCTGTCGTCTGGCCAGGGATAGACTCCTGGACCTGCCACTTGGGAGCTGAGGGATGTTGGAGCATCTGTGCGTCGCGTGAGGTGGCATCCTTGGGATTACACCTGCCGGCCTATGAGCTCCTCCCAGCAGGTGCACTGGAGAGGGGAAGGGGTGGAGGCCCATGCTGTGCGGCCGCAGCTGGGGGTCCCGTCAGCTGGTCCCGTTCTTGCCCAGGCTTCGTGAGACTGAGTCTCTGTGCCGCTTCTGCCGAACTCCGGTGTGGCCGGTTCCAAGCATCTGTATCACTGTGTGCAGGTGCCTTTCGTCCCTCGTCCCCTTTGTCCCTCGTCAGTGCCAAGATACTCAGAACGAACTTGGCTCTGACAGCCGGAAACAAATACGATCCTGAGGACGCCCTAGCGGGCGGGGCCCGCCATCCATGAAGCGGGAACAAGCCTGGCCGGAGGGGCCTGAGTCCCATCAGAGATCCAGGGCCCTGCCGTAGCAGGGACGGCGGGTGCTTCCCCAGTAGCCTGTCCCCAGGCCCCGGGGTCCGACGCCCTCAGCCGGAGAAGCCGTGGCAGGGGGTCTCCGCATCCGGGTCCTGTTGGCTCTACAAGACCGTTCCTGCCGCTGCGGGCTCCCTGCCTCCCGCTCCCTGTGGTGGTGGCCCCGCTCTGCCCTGGATGGCGGGAGGTAAAGAGACGGCCTCTGTGTCTGGTCGGAGGGCAGCCGCAGGGAGCTGGCTCCGTTCTGCTTTGTCCCCGTCCCTCCAGATCTGTCGTGCTTGTGACATGTCGGCGAATGACCACTGCCCGTTCTCTGCTCCCTTCTCCCTCAACCACAGGTGCCCGGGGCAGGTGCGTCCGCTGTTCGTCTTATTTTCGCGCTGGGCGCCCTCTGTGGCCGTGAGGCTCAGCTCTCACTCTTGAGTGCCTGGTCGTCTCCCTGCGGTTCCGTGTTCCTAAGCCCCCCTCCTCTCTGGGGGAAGGAATCCTTCCCCTCCTGGGCTGAAGCCCCCTGAGAGGCCGGTGTGGGCAGATGGGCGGTTCTGGGCGCCCGTCTGTTGGTGGTGATGTGGTGGCAGGAATTCGTGCCAGGAGGGCAGGCCTGCCGGAAGCCAGCAGGGTTAGGGAGAAGGCTCACACTGGCTGTCAGCTCCCGAGACCCAGGGCGGACTTGACTCCACCTTCCCACCCCCAAGTTCATTTTCATACAGGATCTGCTCGGGGCTCCGGGCCATGCACGGCCCCCGCCCCGGGGCTCTGACTTCCTGATGGCCATCCTTGCTGACACACTTATCCTCAGCGTTTGGTTCTTGATCACTTAATAGGACATTCTGTGCCTGAGTCCCCCTGAGAACAGCGTCCCCACGGAGGCGGCCAGGACGGGTCAGCTGGCCTCAGCCTTTCCATGGGGGACCAAGTGGCTTCTCCCACACGTACCCCAGGCCAGGTGGGGGGGGGTCCTGTAAGCGGCTCAGGGACCTTCACAGCCTTGCAGGGAGTTATTTTGTGGCCTCCCTCTCATACCTGTTGGGTAGTGTCTCACCTGGCCCTGCACCTGATGATTTTCTCTGACTTCGTATCTGAGAAAGAACTAAGACTCCCAGAAGACCTCTCACGTTTCACCTGTTCTCCCCGCTGAATGAGGGGATCTGCCCAGGGGGACGGTCTTTGCCGCTGTCCTAGCCCCGTTTCGGAGACGAACTGGAGAGAGTGGTGTCTCCCACCCACCCAAAGGGGAAAGTGGGGGACTTGACTCATTAAGTCGTGAGTCTTTTTGTTAGATTTCTTTCTTTCTTTCTTTTTTCTTTTCTTTCTTTCTTTCTTTCTTTCTTTCTCTTTTCTTTTTTTTCTTTCTTTTTTCTTTTCTTCTTTCTTTCTTTCTTTCTTTCTTTCTTTCCTTCTTTTCTTTTTTTAAAGAGGGTAATGCTGCAGGGGCTGGAGGGAGTGGTTCATGCTGCATAGATGAGTCTGGGTCACTAGGGGGTTCCTCCTTCAGCAGATGTTGGCTGAGTGCAGCTCTGTGCCCACTGAGTCCTGGGGGCCGGGGAACAAACACGTATGGCCCCACTGTCTGGTGGAGATGTACCTAGGACGGCGGGCGGGGGGAGGGTGGGACCGGGATCCCGGCGGCACAAGGAAACCCAAACCCAGGAAGCCAGTGGGGCAGCTTCCTGGCCAGGAGACTGCTCAGCTGTGACCCCAAGGGCCAGCTGGCTTCAGCCAGCCGCGGGAGGAGTGCTGGGGCGCCAGAGAGAGACCCAGTGCCTCCCATGAGGACTGGCCTTGGCTCAAGAGCGCACAGACGTAGCCTGGGGAGCCTCCTTTTTATAACGAACTTGGAAAAGCCATTTCCAGTGTGACGTTGGAAAAAATCCACTTGCACACACAACAAGAAGACGGCATTTGGTAATAGAGGACGATTACAACCTCACGTGAGACGACTACGACAGATTTTTTCGACATGCCTTTCAACAGTGTCTAGTTATTAGAGGAACAGTGTCAGATAATTTTACGAAGATTGTGGTGCCCTCTGGTGGCCTCCCCGTAGACTTGCTCTTCATTCACCAGGGAAAGGCTCGGTTAAGCGATGGGCTGTGTCTCCCAGTTGAGGGCAGCGTGTCCTTCCGTCCAGGTGCACAGGTCAGCTTTGGCGGGCGGGGGGCGGGTGCCGTGGCTCACGACTCGGCCTCTTTCCTTTCCCCGGCAGCGCCGGTGTGGGCCGGACGGGCACCTTCATAGTGATCGATGCCATGATGGACATGATGCACGCTGAGCACAAGGTCGACGTCTTCGACTTCGTGTCGAGAATCCGCAACCAGCGTCCTCAGATGGTTCAAACAGATGTGAGTAGCCCTCCCCCAGCCCAGCCCCTCGCCCTGGGGAGAGCTGCACAGAGCAAACCCAGACACCTTGGCCACCCCTGGACTGTCAGTGCACGGGTAACAGTGCCTGGCAGGGAGAAGGTGCTCAGTAATGCCCGCTGCCATATGGTCCTCACTCAAGGCCATAAGCGGTCATTGGTAATGGCTGTGCATCTGACTTTTGCTCCCAAACCTCCCTCCCTTGGCAAAGCGTGGAGTTGGTTGTTGCTGAGCTGTGAGCGGCCAGCGGTGGCCGGGCAAGCTCGAGGGCGCGGGTGCTCTGGGTCTCCTCGCAGATGCAGTACACGTTCATCTACCAAGCCTTACTGGAGTACTACCTCTACGGGGACACCGAGCTGGATGTGTCCTCTCTGGAAAACCACCTGCAGACGCTGCACGGCACCTCCACCCACTTCGACAAGATCGGGCTGGAGGAGGAGTTCAGGGTACGTGCGAAGGCGGGCAGCCGGCCAAAGGAGTCCCCTTTCAATCGCCCACCCCCCTCTGGCCCGAGCCCGGAACAAGCAGGGTGGCCCTCCCGCCCATGACGCAGAGGGAAGAATTCTCGGGGGCTTTCAGAGCTGAGCAGGGGCCCGTGTGGGGGAGCGCGTCACGCGTGGGCTCTCATTTCCCAACATTCGGGAAGCGTCCAGGGTCAGAGATGGGCCGTTGTTGCGGGTCAGCAGGCGCCCTTGACAGGGGTGCTGTTCCGGGGTTGAGGGAGTCACGCGGGAGAGTCCGTGTTGGAGCTGTGACCCCGTGTCCTCCTTGACTGCAGAAACTGACAAATGTCCGGATCATGAAGGAGGACATGAGGACAGGCAACCTGCCGGCCAACATGAAGAAGGCCAGAGTCATCCAGATCATTCCGTGTAAGGCAGCCCTGGGGCCGCCCCGTGGGATTGAAACCCCAAGGCAGGACGGGATTGGGGCTGGCACGCTGGGAGAATTCTTTGACTGCCCGCCTCTGTAAGCCAGGATCCAAGGGCAGGACAGCCCCCGGGCCTGGGGTTAAGGGCTCCTGGGAGGCTATGTCAAGGGTAGGTGAGAGAACACCCACCTGTGAAGCAGTGAGCGACCCAGACAGTCCTGTGTGTCAGGTGGGCAGCATCTGATACGAGATGTAGGTGGCAAGACAGAGGGAGGACTTCCTGGTAGCGGAGAGATTTGCTCTGGTCGTGACTCTGGGGCTGCATGGTTCTCATCTCATCCAGTAGTCCCCCAAGCCTGTATATGGAGGAGGGGGCCCTGCTCCAGGCCAGGGGACCTGAAAGGCCTTGGAATGGGCAGGGGTGGAGTTGGGACCCTGGCCTGCCCCGAGGTCCCAGGTAAGGGGGAGAAAGAGGATGGGGTGCCCATGTTTGTTGAGTGCAGGCAAAGAAACAGACTCCACAGAGATCAGAGGGACCGCAGGAAAGGAAGGGAGAGGGTGAAGAGAGAGAGAGAGAGAGAGCACCTCACTGCAGATGTGGACTCAGGGTTCCTGACATGCTTTAGCGGTTGCCAAGAATCAGAAGTGCGTGAAGGCTGGGGCGCCAGGGTGGCTCAGTCGGTTAAGCATCCGGCTTCGGGTCAGGTCATGACGTCACAGTCCGTGGGTTTGAGCCCCGCGTCGGGCTCTATGCTGACAGCTCAGAGCCTGGAGCCTGCTTCGGATTCCGTGCCTCCCTCTCTCTCTCTCTGCCCCTCCCCTGTTCATGCTTTGTCTCTCTCTCCCTCTCTCTCTCAAAAATAAACAGTAAAAAAAAAGTTAGAAAAAAAAAAAAGTGCATGAATGCTGGGTGAAGACTGCTTCGGCCTGAGACACTGGCTTCTGTGAGGCTGCAGCCATAATTCCAGGTCACCTGTCGGGCCACATTCCTTTTACTCCTGAAATGCAGTATTTTTAATGCTCATATTTTGGTATGAATTACATCAATTCATGGCACACGAAAATGATAACTGGGGTAATTTCAGAGCTTTCCTACCAAAACACAATTTCCTGGGCCAATTTAATTAACCTACTTTATAAAGTAAACCTTCCAGGGACTTGACTCGACTTCGCGATTTTATTAACAAGTTTTGTGTTTTGGAAGCTTGTAGCCACAGAGTGAGCTTTGCAAGGCAGGGCGGTGTTTGTGCTGTGACTGAAGGATCATACTGCTTTGCAGATGACTTCAATCGGGTGATCCTTTCCATGAAAAGGGGTCAAGAATACACAGACTACATCAACGCCTCCTTTATCGACGTAAGTATAGCGGCCCCGGCTGTGCTTTGCAAAGATGACTGTGACCTTCATCCGTGATCACAGACTCTTTATTAACTCATTTTCACGATCAAGAAGGAGTCCTGAAATCCCAACCATTTCGTTAGCAGAATTACTTGCTTCTAAAAAACAAAAAACAAAAAACACGAACAATGAACTTTGGAAACAGAGGTAACAGGTGCACTGCTAAGGAATTTGCTTTATGAGGCACGGCGCTTTTTCTTTGACGTCTCTAATACGCACCAGGGTCACATGGGCCCTTGCACGGCTGGCTGTCCTGCAGTCTCTGTGCCCTCCTGTCCATTCCGCGTGGACGGAGCGGTGGTGCACTCCGGGCTGACCGTCACCGCCTGTCTCCACGCACGGTGCGCCGAGCTGTGAAATGGTTGGGGAAGGACGCTGCGGCCACATCTGCGTTAGCACGTCCGTTTGCAGATGAGAAAACGTTGCCAGAGGTCACTTGGGCCGCATGGAGGAACTGGATTTGAATCCACTTCCTCTAAGCCCGCCCCCAGTCCACCACCATGATGCTAACTGAGCCGAAACACAGCAACACACGAGAACAGAGTCATCGGTGCTCTCTCAGGTGGCCGGGGCCAGCGTGGCTCATGCCACCCGCTCAGAGGCGACCCCTGGCGCTGCAGAGGAGGTGGCTGGGTCGCAGAGGGAATGGGCATCTCGGGCTGTCGCTGCGTGCAGGTGGTTTGCTGGGGCCCAGCCCAGCCCTGGAAGCCGGAGAACATTTTCCCTGGCCGGGCCCTGGCCTCTCCTGCACCCCGCTGTCCATGGTGGAGCCAGGAGGAAAGGGAGTCAGACTCTAATCTCTGTTCCCCCTTTGAAGGGCTACCGACAGAAGGACTATTTCATCGCCACCCAGGGGCCCCTGGCGCACACGGTGGAAGACTTCTGGCGGATGGTCTGGGAGTGGAAGTGCCACACGGTCGTGATGCTGACGGAGGTCCAGGAGCGAGAGCAGGTCAGGGACGCCCGCCGCCCTGCCCCCTGCGGGGGCCTCCCAAGAACCCACAGCGCCCCTGGCGGCCCCCCGCCACCGACAGGTCCCACCCCGTGGCAGCCGTCAGCTGCTGAGGCCACAGGGACTGGGGAGGGAGCCAGGCTGGAGACGAAAGAGGCTCCACTCTTGCTCAGCCATGACCGCCCACTGGCTTTCACTCTTAGCCGGCATTTCATGTAACCTATCTTAACTGTCTTCGAGACATAAGGACGTAGGCGTTGATATGTGTGTGCCTTACAGGTGTTGTCCTGGGTGGGCCGAATGACTCAAATGCTTCCCTTTCCCCAGAGACCCGTCCAGGGCCTTCTTGTGTCTTTTATTGAATGACACAGTAAATACTCGTGAACCCACCGTCCGACTGAAAAGCCAAACCTTACCGGTGTTGTACATCTACCTGTACGTTACCCAGGATAGAGCCGCTACCCTGAATCTGTGTTTCCTTTGCTTTCTTGGAAACAGCACATTGACGTCCAATTCACATACCATTCAGTTCATCCTTTTAAAGGGTAGAGCTCGGCGATATTTTTTAAATTTTATTTATTTATTTTGAGGGAAAGAGAGCGTGTGTGCATGAGCTGGGGAGGGGCAGAAAGAGAGGGAGAGAGAGAGAGAGAACCTTAAGCGACTGTGCACTGTCAGCTCAGAGCCCGACTTGGGGGTCAAACTCTCGAACCATGAGAACCATGACCTCAGCCGAAATCAAGAGTCAGACATTTAACCAACCGAGCCACCCAAGCACCTTGCAGTTTTTAATATACTCACAGCGTTGTGCAACATCAGCACCATTTAATTCTAGATCGTTTTTGTCACCCCCAGAGGAAACCCCACACCCAAGAACAGCCACTCCCCATTCCTTCTTCCTCTAGTTTCTGCAACCACCATGAATTTGCCACTTCTGGACATTTCATGAAGATGAGTTCCTACAACATGCCTTGTGTGATCGAGTTCTTTCACTTAGTGTAATGTCTTCAAGGTTTAACCATGTTGTATCAGGAATAAGCTCTTTTTTTCTTGACAAATAATATTCCATTGTAAGGACAGGCCATATTTTGTGTATCTGTTCGTCAGCTGGCGGACATTGGGTTGTTTCCACTCTTGGGCTGTTACACATTATGGTGGGAACATTCATGTTCAGGTTCTGACACGGACCTGTGTTTTCATTTCTCTTGGGGAGACGCCTAGGGGCCGAATTACCGGGCCGTATCATAACTCTGTCGTGCAGACTCATACAGCTTAACATTTTGGAGAACTGCAGACTGCCTTGCACGGCAGCTGCCCCAGTTTGAATTCCCTCCGGGAGTGGACAAGGGCTACAGTGACTTCTCATTCTACCAACATTTATTGTCACTGGTCTTTTTAAAGCCATCCTAGTGGATGTGTTCTTTGCTTTTTCCAGAAATCTTTTCAGATCATATACGTGTGTGTCTAAAGCAACTACTGCTTTTGAACTTCATACAAAGGGTATCATTACAGTGCGTGTTCTGCCGGGACTTGCTCCTTCCGCTCAGAATGATGCTTTTGACACTTTCCTACCCTGATGCGTATCGCTGTGGTTCATTCATCGTGATTCTATTTTGTTCCACTATACAAACTGGACATCCTAAACCCACTTCTCTATCCCTTCTCCCTCTATGGGAATTTGGGATGATGCCACGTTATTGTTTTACACATGGCGCTACCTACCAGTACATTCTCCTTCGTGTCTCATGCTGCACAAGGAAGAGCAGACTCCAGAGGGACATTACGCCACATTGGAGAGCGTGTGACAGTTTGGGTTTCCAAGATACTTCCTCACTGCTTTGCCAAGTGGTTCCGTTTCCCAAAGCGGACACTGGTGGTGTGTGAGAGAGATATTCGATCGACGCCCTTAGTACCGTCGGGCATCCTCAGTTTTGTTGATTGAATACGAGTATCTGTCATCCCTTTGTAGCTTTGATTGGCATCTCTCTGATTCCTGTGAGGTCAAGCCTCGCTTCGTATATGTATAGATGGATGTTTTCCTCTGTGCAAGACGCCTGGCCATGCCTTTCTCCCGTTTTGCTAGTGAGTTGTTGACTCTTTTTATCTTGACTTACAAGAATTCTTTACATGTTCTTGATACTTACCCTCGGCGGGTTTTACGTACCGCAGATGTCTTGTCCCAGTTGATGGCATGTCTTTTCACTCTTTTGAGAGTGTTTGTTGATGGAGTGAAGTTCATTGTGTTGCCATCTGATGTTGCAATCTTCGCGCCGCGGATGGTTAGCTCTGTCGGGGTCTTGCTTAACGAGTCCTTCTGCGCACCTCAGAATGGAAGGACATTTTCTTCTAAGGCCTTCACGGTTTTGATTTTAACTTTAAGTATTAACCCATCTGGGTTTATTTTTATGAAGACTCAAACCTACTGTATACGGTAGTGTAGGTTGTGCACTGCCCAACTCCAGGAGGGCTGGACCGTTCATATCAAGCTTGGTAGGTTGTGAGTCAGGGATCCAGTGCTTTTCCTGCATGGAAAACCAATTTTTCCAATTCCACTTATAGAATCTTTTCTTTCCATCATGTCCTGTATCTGAGTTGCAAATACATGCATGTCTGTTTCTGGATTCCCTTGGTCAATGGGTATTAACGGGCATTCATATTTGTATTCATATGTGACTTACTTGGTCAGATGAAGTACGTTAAATGGTTTGAGAGTGATTCTGCCTCATATCCTCAAACTGCTAACAGCAAGTTATTTGCTATGAGACTTAACATGTTATTTTTTTACCCCAAGGATAAATGCTACCAGTATTGGCCAACAGAGGGCTCAGTGACTCACGGCGAAATAACAATCGAAATAAAAAGCGACACGCTTTCCGAAGCCATCAGCATACGGGACTTCCTGGTCACTTTCAATCAGGTATTGTTGCCAGAGTGCGTCCAACCCTTGTAGACAGAATGCACCGCAGCATCCCTCAGGGTCTGCTGGTGATGGTACCAGAATGTCCTGTTCCTTCCACCTCCTCTAACTGGTACCTTGGGATCCACGTTCAGTGCGGTGAGTAGGGAGCCATGTTACAAAGGGGCAGGTCTCCTACGACGTTCGCACCCTCGGGGTCACCTGCCTCCTTGCCGCACGAGATGGTGGAGCAGAGTGGCCGACTCCTAGAGGCGCCACACGGCCACCACCTCCGCCTTCGGGAGAAATGGCAGTGGTGGGGCCGCAGGAGGAGGAAAGGCCGTGGATCAAGCCACAGAGGCCTGTCCAAGCTTGTTCAGAGCCCCTAGGACAGGAGGGGTCCTGGCTTCTTAAGAAAGAGATGATCGTGTTGTCTCCCGCAAAGTTGCCAGGGATCCCATAAAGGTATCTGGCGGGCCCTGGCGAGGGGCTCCAGGGAACATCCTCTGGATGTCTTGCCCCCACTCGGAAGGAAATACTGGCATCCCTGCCCTTTAGGGTGCACACAGCCCACAGACCGCCTGGTCAGGCCCCTCAGGCCGGCCAGGTGGGGACGGTGCTGGCCTTCGGAGGCCCCAGGAGGGGCCCAAGCCTTGGCGCGGGTCCCCGGGAGGACGGGTGGGCCCGGGTCCCGCTCCTCGGTGGTCAGGGTCCTGTGGCCAGGCGGCACTGAACGCCCTTCCCCGCCCGCAGCCCCTGGCCCGCCAGGAGGAGCAGACCCGACTGGTGCGCCAGTTCCACTTCCACGGTTGGCCCGAGATCGGGATCCCGGCGGAGGGCAAAGGCATGCTCGACCTCATCGCGGCCGTGCAGAAGCAGCAGCAACAGACCGGCAACCACCCCATCACTGTGCACTGCAGGTGGGCGCCCCCTGCAGGTGGGGCCGAGCCAGACCCTACGCCCGCTTAACTGCTCCCAAGGGCGTCATTGCCCTGGACTGTAGGTTTCACCTTCCCCGTACACAGAGAGCGTCACAGGGATGCGGAAAGGTCATCTGCTGTACCCGCAGGATGCATTTGGGGGGAGGAGTCAGGGAACCCGCTCAAACACACGTTTCCGTATGCCTTTTCAGTCCTCAAAAACCCCTCCAGGCACAGCTCTGACAGACCCACTTCCTGAGCCTCGCCTGCCGGCCTTCCTTTTGAAAGACTGTTCGGGCCGATGTACCCGCCCCTCCCTGTCCCCTCCTCTGGGCTTGGGGAGCCAAGTCCGCACTGTAGCACACCCTCGAGGCAGGAAGGTTTTCTTGAGCCGCTCGAGGATGTCCAGGCTGGGACCGCTGCCCAAGGGCCGCAGCCCCACCCCAGCCCCGCTCCCAAGGCAGGCACAAGGGAGGCCAAAGGAAATGTGGCTGGGGTGCCCCTGGAGACAGCTAGGCACCCACCAAGGCCCTTGATTAGCAGCATCACAAGTGTGGAAGGGTGAATCTGGCCCAACCTAAAGACGTGCCGGCTCACCCTCCTTCTGTGCTGACCCACTTCTGGTTATGCCAGAGCCCCTCCCCGTGCCAGCAGCAGGGGCGGGGGGCGGGGGGCGGGGGCGGGTTGGCCACCAAAGCAAATCTCTTCCTCGCAGGAGTTTGGGGTGCTTTCCTTGTCAGGGGTGCTAATTCGCTTCTGAAGCCGCCCTTCTATTTATTTTTCCACACGTGGCTTCCGTTTTGCGTGGCTGCCGCTTGCCCCACCCCACCCATCCCTTGTAGCCACCAGAGCCTGGGCCTCGCTTGGGGGGATTGGAACTCTCTGCCTGGGACGGGCCTGGGTGCGCTTCTGGCCTGGCCAGCAGGTGGAGCACACGCCCCGGGTTTCAGTTCCTGTGGGCTTTGTAGAAGTCTTTTAGAATAAACTGGAAACGAGTGCCCGCCTCCCCAGACCCGGACTGAGTGTAGGACACCAGGGATGCAAAGACGAACAAATCCCACAAGGGCAGATGTGGGGACAGGTCACTGAAATGGGACGGGAGCCTGAGAATCAGCCCACCCGGGGTGGGGCGGGGTGGGGGTGCCTCTGGGGCCTGGAGGGCTCTCTGGGGGGAGCCAGCTGAGCCCGCCCACTTTGGGCCTGGCCTCTTGTCTATCCTAAGGCTGCCTGGGCTCTGCTCTTGTGGGGTTTATCCAGTTTATCAAGAAAATGACCATCTTAAGTGGAATGGACCCAGATCTTCATCGCTGGGAAGTGTCCCTTATCTAACCTTCCCTGGCAGGGGACGCCCTCTGTCTTAACATCACACCTTGTGAGCCACCGCTTCTCAGAAGGTGGGTCCCTCGCACAGAAGGAGAATCCAGGCCGAGTTACCTCTCCCCAGACCTGAAGCAGGAGGGTTCGCATTTCTGACAAGTTCCCCGGCAACGTTGATGCTGCTGGTCCCGGGGACCATACCCGGAGAACCCCCCGCCTACACGAGTTGCAGCTTGAAAGCTTGTGCCGGGTCTTGATCCCACTCATGAGCCACCTGTCTGCTGTAACTGGGCCAGTGCTTTAGGAGTGTCACGTTTGCGGACTCTCGCTCCACGCAGATGATCTTTGGAAATCCAAACCTGGCTCGTTTTCGGGGGCGATTGCTTCTGTGCTGATGTGCGGGGATGGGCTGCAGGCCGTCCGCGTCTCGTCCCCACGGGCAAGCCCCGTCGTCTCCCTTAAGTACTTTTCCTCCGCAGTGCTGGAGCCGGGCGAACAGGTACATTCATCGCGCTCAGCAACATTCTGGAACGAGTGAAAGCCGAGGGCCTTTTAGACGTATTCCAAGCTGTGAAGAGTTTACGACTTCAGAGACCGCATATGGTGCAAACCCTGGTAAGAAACTGAGTGGCGAGGGTGTTTCCGGAAGGGCCGAGAATTGTCTGTGCTGAGTGTGGGGAGAGGGAGGAGAGCGAGCTTCTCGGGGGACGGAACTCAGGGCATTCTCCCCGGTGAAGCTCCACGGACCCTCTCCTTCCCTTGAGTCTGGCTGGGGACGGTCCCCTGGGCAGGACGCTGGAGGAGGGGTGTAGCCATGACTTCAGACTTTAAGACCCCTTGGACAGAGGCACTGAATACACCAGCTTTCTGTGTCACGGTGACTATTCCGCCAGATTCTAGGGCCATCCTCTTTCATTCTGTGACAAAAACACACGCTTCCTGGTTTGCAGAAGACATGCTTCCTCAACAAGTAATCATTTGGCCCCAGTAAGTGCAATTTCAAGAAATGTTCTCACACATCCTTTTTCTCAAGTCTTCCTATTTGTAGATGTGCCCTCCTCGCCCGCTCCTTCTGTATACTCACAGGGTCCCCAGGCAAGCAAGCCATCACATGGGCCCCTCCAGCACATTCCCGTCGCAGGGACAGCTCAGCCGCTAGGATCGCCTGAGCAGAACGGGGTTCGCCTCGCGCCCCCAGGCTGGGCGAGAGTGCGGGTCTCACCCTGAGGGCACACCAGCCTGGCCTGGAGAGTGTTCACAGTCCTGCTCCGTTGCCAGGCTGCCCTCACACTTGCTGGGGGTGGGCGCCAGGCTGGCATCGGCCTATCTCTGGCCCTCCCAGGTGGTCCCGAAGTGAATACAGTTTCGAGAGCCACTATCAGTAAAGGAAAACTGTGTGCCTACCAGCCCCCCACCCTCCTTGCCCCCACGCCCCTCTTCGGGCCATGACTGGGGCAGAAACCTGAGGCTCCCCTGCTTTCCCTAGAGCCCTGGCCCCAGTGCGGACCGTCCTTGCTAGGGCTCTGGAAGATGCTAGAGGCATCTTCTAAAGGTTATGCCTGCCTACTGACAGCTGATACCTCCTACAGGCATCATGAACTTGAATGACTTTGGGCATGGGAAAAACAGAAGCAGACCACTCCCAGGAAGATTTTCTAGATGAAAATAATAATGATAACAGGAATACCTTCAAAAAGAAATTCAGAGTTTTTTTTTTTTTTAATTTTTAATGTTTATTTTTGAGAGAGGGACAGAATGTGGGTGGAGGAGGGGCAGAGAGGGAGGGAGACACAGAATCTGAAGCAGGCTCCAGGCTCTGAGCTGTCGGCACAGAGCCCAATGTGGGGCTCGAACTCACTGACTGCAAGATGATGACCTGAGCCGAAGTTGGGACACCTAACCAACTGAGCCACCCAGGCGTCCCAAGAAATTCAGTTTTTAACTATGAGCCATAGTCTTTCAGTTTCTTTCCTGTTTTTTGAGTCCACTCCCGGCTTCCCCAGGCAGAGTGAATAGCTTTAGTCCTGTCTCGCCCTCAGTTTAGTATAAAAGCTAAGTCATGGCGTCCCTTTGTTGCTTGGGCTTTGGGCGGTCATCCCAACATCACGGCAGGACGTGCTTGGACAAGCTCCTTCCACTTTCCAGACTTTAGTTCCCTATCTGTGGAAAATGGGGCGACAGCACCTGCCTTCAGTCGGCATGCAGATTTGTTTTATGTCTGTACCTCAGGGGCCTCGTGAGTGCCTGACCCAGGGAGGCTCCCAGCGATTGTAGCAAAGAACATTTCTTATCCGACTCAGCATGCAAACACCTCCTTGTTTGTTTTTAATGTTTATTGATTTTTGAGAGAAACAGAATGCAAGCGGGTTAGGGGCAGAGAGAGAGGGAAACACAGAATCCGAAGCAGGCTCCAGGCTCTGAGCTGTCAGCACAGAGCCCGACGCGGGGCTCGAACTCATCAACAGTTTGATGCGGGGCTCGAACTCATGAAACGTGAGATCATGACCTGAGCTGAAGTTGGATGCTCAACTAACTCACGATTTGTGAGGAGGGTGAGAGTCAAATGATGCACAGGAGTGTTTTAATAAGTCAGATGCCTTAGATAGAAGGCGATGTTTTTTGAATTCTAAAATTTATATAAAACAATGTCCCTTTTTGGAGTAAATTGAGGCTTAAAAATACCCTAGATTTTCATCTTTTTTAACTTTCATAGGTTACTTCTTTGTTACATTATGTTTATTTGAAGTTAAATATGCTGGGTTTTTTTAAATTTTTATTTCAAAAATAGTTGTTTTCCAGTTTTTTAATGTTTATTAGTTTTTGAGAGAGAGAGAGAAAGAGAGAGCACAAGCAGGGGAAGGGCAGAGAGAGAGGGAGACACAGAATCCGAAGCAGCTCCAGGCTCCGAGCTGTCAGCACAGAGCCCGACGCGGGGCTCGAACCCACAAACCGTGAGATCCTGACCTGAGCCGAAGTCGGACGCCCAACCGACCGAGCCACCCAGGCGCCCCTGTTTTCCATTTTAAGTATGAAAACTGAAGACCTTTTACTCAGACTCTCCTCAAATATGCTAAGTTGAGACTAATCGTTGCCATTTTTTTATATTACAAAAACAGTTTTACCTGGAAACGTCTCTGTGCAACCAGTATGTAACTAGTCAGACTAGTCAGACATTTTTTTTTTTTTTGGCTTCTTTTTATGAGTTTCTCCTAACTAAATTAATGGAATTTAAAAAATCATTTTAATATTTTCTTGTTTTTTTTTTTTTTCAGGAACAGTATGAATTCTGCTACAAAGTGGTACAAGATTTTATTGATATATTTTCTGATTATGCTAATTTCAAATGAAATTCCTGCCTTAAAATATTTTTTAATTTAATGGTCAGTATATTTTATAAAGATCATGTTAATTTATTTCATAGTTGACATTAATACCCGTCCTAATTTCTTTGTATATATTTTGTTACGCTTTAAAGGCCACTGCTATAAAGTTATTAAATCTTAAATACCCCTTTTAAGAACGGGAATAATGTATGAAGGTCAAGTAATATCCCGTAAAACGCATTTCTGCTAATATCGGTAAATACTCTAATTTTGCGTTAGATTCATCATATCCTATAATTTCACACGTTCAGCACGTCTAAATGTTAAAAATCTTAATATGCAATGTGTGCTTGACGCAGGAGAGTAAACACAGAGCCCGCTGTTAAGAAAGCGGTCGAGGACTCAAAAATCAGTTGAAATTCCCTGTCCAGACACTGATTTTTACAGGCCTGCGCAGTGGCATTTTGCGGGAGGTAAAATGTTCATGGAGATACACCGTAAGTAGGGGATCCTGTGAAGTCCTCAGTCTCAACTCATGTGGTTTACCTGTACATTTTAAAGATCAAGGGCATCACAGCCCGCGTGCAGGTATAAAATGCATGAGCACAGTTGGTGACCATATAGTGATACACGTGCGTTTACTCAAGGCTGGGTCCGTGCTGTCTGGGCCGGAAGTGGGGAGATGTCAGTGCTGGTGGCATGGTCACCCGTGGCCTTGGGTACGGCAAAATCAGCTATCAGGCTGCGTTCCCACGTGGCCACTTGCTGTCCGTCTGTCTGAGTGTTTGGCTCAGAGGAGTCTCTGAGAATCAAACCAACTGCATTTCTCACTCTTGCCTCTGGTCTCGAGCTACCTAGAGGCTCAACACAAACCACTTCTTAATCCTAACGTGCGGATAGAGCCAAACATCTGACTCACGCAGATGCCAAGAGCACACGCTTGGGGAGACCACCACAAGCACTGATGCTTTCAACTTTCTGAGAAGCATTTTGGGTTGTTTTTTTTTTTGTTTTTTTTTTTTAAATCTTGTACACGCTAAGATTGTTTGTAAGAAAAGAAATCTTAAAATCTAGATTTATACAGTTTTTTTTAAAGTCCCCCTCCTCAATATTTAAATAAAAGACACAGAGAGAGAAATCCTTAATCTAAAGGCTAACTTATTTTTGAATGGAAATACTACTGAGACCTTTGACACTGGATAATAATAATCTCACTGCCAGACTGGATTGGCTTATGGAGCGACAAAAGGGAGAAGGTTGAATGTAGAAAAGTTTAATTTAATGACGGTGATCTTTCTGTGGCCATTAGGTAGCAGATGAGCATATGAGCACAATATATATATATATAAAAATATAAAAAAATAAAGACACCTGCTCTAACATACTAAAGCACTTAAGATGTGCATTTGGGGTACAGTTTGTTTCTTGCTTTTAAAAAGAAATATAAAGGCCTTATTTGACATTTCCACTGAGAAGTGACTGCACCTTCCTATTGCACTGTTCATCCCGTGTCCGTTTCTGGTGTGCACAATGTGATCCCAGGGTTTCTTGCATACTAACGATAGCCTCACGGTGATCAAGTCTCCGTGGCTCCTCTGAGCTCCACTCCGTGGCAGAAGGGGTGCCAGCCAGAAGGGCGAGAGCACAACTTTGTGACCGATGCCGCCGCCGCCAGCCGTATCCCTGGGCACACGCAGTGCTGAATACATCCCTCCGTCCTTCCCGGGACCGTGAGGATACGTTTGGGTCGAAGAGGAAGATGGAGGCAGCTCTGCAAGATGCACCAGCTGGTCCCATATGTTTTCATTGTCAGAATCCGCCCCCCCCCCCAAAGCCTTTCTGTGACTGAAGGAGAAGAGAGAGAACCAAGCTTTTCATTTGGCACCAAACCCTAGAAACCGAGCTGGCTACGTCGTGATGAAAGTGATTTGTAATGTACCCGAGGGTTCAGGGTCAAAGTCAAGGGAATGGACTCGGGTCTAATTTAGGAGCCCTCATGAGAAGCTGTCGGGCCCTTCAGTGGTCTACCTGGCATCTCTTGTGTGGCGATTCAGGTCGAACTTACCAGGGGTGCCCTCGGGAAAGTGCCCCGTTTGTGCGTTGTTCTGTCTCCCTGTGCCCGCTGCAGGCATCTTGGCACCCGCTTTGGTCCTTCCGCCTCTGGAAACAAGGCAGAAGCCGCGACCCCTAGGGCACAGGACCCCTGTCCCCAGTCGAGGGCAGTACTTGCCTTTCTAGGGGCCTGGGAATTGCAGCCTCCTGGCCTCTGCCCAGGCCCCCCCGACCCACCCAGTCCAAACAGTCCCTTTGGGGACGCGCTACCCTCTCTGTGCAACCGGGAAAGCCGACCTCTCCTTCCCCCTCTGTCAAAGAAGGTCCATGGACATGACAGCGCCCCGCTGACGGGGCTGACGAGGCCATTCTTACCTTCACTTTTTTGTGTGTCGCATGAGGCTGCATCCAAATGCCAAATAGCGATTAGGAGCCTACCGTTCTGATCGACAAGCTGTACGGTCACTGTGTGACTCACTCTACTGTTTCTCTCCATGTGCTAGACGAATGAAGAATGCATACCAGTGTTTTGAAAGGTATTTTTATGTGTTTTTAAAAACTTTTTTAAATGAGCCTGACACGTCTGTTTCAGCATTCGAAGACATGCCCATGTGATTTTTAAGATGTGTGGTTCCTGATACTTTTGTTTAACTAAATCGTGTTTAATTTATGTGCAATCTTTATAATATACATCTGTAGTCCCCGTTTCAACTATCATAGTTTCTTTTATTACATCTGTAATTTGATCTTGCTCTGATTATAATGCCAGTGAATGTTGCTGAATTCTTTGTATATGCAAATTGCAAGATCTAAAACAGTCTGATGCAAGGATAAATCTTTACTTTGACTTCCAGCCTGCGTCTCGTTCTTCCGTGAAATCTCTTCGTTGTATTCCTGTGCCTTACGTCCTCTTAGACAAGACACTCATTAGGAGGTAGACATTGATTCATGTAGACCATAACTTAGGACTTCTAAAATGTAGCTCCGCCCTGGCTTGGAAACAGCCCCGACCGTGGGCACAGTGGCCGGCCGGGGGGGGGGGGG